AGTTTCTGTGAAACTGTGGCTTAAACACTTGGTCATTCTCCAGATCCTGACAGCGAGAGAAGGTGAGGACAAAGAAACTAAACAGCTTTCCTGGGCCACAGAGATGCTTGGTCCATAACTAGAACTGAGATGATGGGCTCTTAAGTCAGACTGTAATCACAGAAATCACCAGGATATAAGCAGCTATTTGCTGCTCTTCTGGAGACAGTCAATCAGTCTGGATAACTTTGTTCAGGGTGAGAAATACCAAGTGTCAGTGCTCAGGAGAAAAGCTAAACAAATGCTGGTTGTGCTGCAGTACATGCTGGGACATATTCTTATCTCATTGACTGTGATATTCCTGCCTGGGTAGGCCTTCTGTCCAGGGTAATTGATACCAGGATGTCTTGTGAAATTAAAATTTTCTAGAGCTTGAGACAGAGAGAAGAGCAAGTGGCAAAGATACCAACCTTTTCCATACAACCCTAAATTCAAAGAAATACATGTTTGTATATGTGACTATTTACTTGGACTGGCTTTGACACTGGGTTTCTTCCCTCAGCAAGTTCAGAAGGGGCTCTGCCTTTACTGCTCCCATGAAGTCTGTGCCCATGGAAATAACACAATATAATTGATCTCCTTTGCATAAACTCCAGCATGGCTGAATCCAAGGAACAGGTAATCTCATTTCATAACTGTTGCCATCTGAAATCCAAGATCCCAATGGAAAATAGTGGTGAAGAAAGATTGCTGAAGAAGAAGAGTCATTTGCACTTAAAAATCCTCAGCATGTGCTTTCTCAGAAGCATGCTGTGATGTGATATATATTGAACTAAGTTAACATTAGTGGCCATGGAGCACTCCTAATGAACAGGAGATGTCCTTCGAAAGGTGTTTGTTCACCACGTTTTCAATATCTTCTCTGGGAGTTCCAAAAGCACTGACTTGGACATGTCACAATCCTGGTAAATTATTATCCTGATATTACTCTAATGAGGTGGCATGACCATGGTGAAAGCAGACACAGCTCTTGGGAGATAGGATCCAGGGGAGGCCATTGAAAACCTCAGCTTGATTAAGAGTATCTGATTCTCCCTAGAAGTTTGACATTGTATTAAATATGCATCAACTGTGCTACCAAGAATGCATCCTGGGAAAGAGCACTGCCACAAAAATCTCTTTCCCAGTGTTTCCTAGGATTCAGTTTGGCTGCATCTTGAGCAAGATCACTGCATTGCCAACTGCTTGGTTTGTATGGCTTGGCTAGAGCTGGTTTTGGGAGACATTTGAGCTTTAATTTGCTCACTGCTCCAGGCCTTGTGAGGTCTGGTAGAAGAGGAGACTTTCTTCATCCTTCATCCATTTAAAGAAGCCTCAGTGGGTAGCTCTAAAGAACTGGGGTATTGGCTTCAGCTTCAAGTTAATGAAACCATAGCAACATGCTGTGGGATGGAACAGCTGATGGGCTATATAGTTGTTCTATAGCTGCATAGTTGTACTTATAGCTGTATAAGTGAGAGTAAGCCTCCAATACCTGATTTTAAACAACTCCTACAAGATTAGTTAGGACACTGCATTTAACACTGAGGGGTCTAGCTAAACAAGCTATTGAGATTTAATCTAGCTGAAACTAGATATACTTGCTTTAATGTAGCTGTAAGGAACTCTGTCCTCACAGAGGGACTAAGCATAATCTGACACCAGTTGTCTGTCTATAAACACAGACAAAATCACAACAAGCAAGACATGCTGATTATTGTCTAGAAAATGCCAGGAAAACTTCGGTGGTTCAAGGAGCAGCAGGCATGTTACTCTCTAATGAGGTGATTTCTTTTTCAGTCTGGTTTGACCTCAGATTGTATTCTTTATTCCCTTATCAGAATGGATGATCTGTAAGTCCAGGACACCATCTTTTAAATAATGGCTGTATTATTTATCACAGTTTTTCTCTCCATCTCTGGCATTGTGAAACACTTTGATTCAACAAAACCTAAATTGCTGAGGTCAACCTCTTTTCTGTACTTGTTGGGTGTTTAAGTGCTACCCTTAAGAAGCCTTTTGCAGTGCCCCAAACACTTACTGATGCTCTAACAAACCAAATTACAAGCAGTGTTTTTTCTTGAGCATTATTAATTTGAAATATTTCTGGTTCACAGGAAATCTTAGCTCAAGTCTACCCCAATTCAGAATAAACCTAGCGTTCACAGTTATCTGTAAATTGGAAATTTTTATGTAACCCCTTGGACATGGGAATTGTTACATGAAATCATGTGTTGCTTATTACACAATGAAGGATTGAGCAAGGCAGAACAGCTGATTAGAATTAGGAAGCTTTGAGATTCCCAACCTAGAACTTCTGCCTTGTGAGGAGGAGTACTGGAAGCCCAAAAGGTCTGTGCTTTACCTCAAGTTCTCTAGGTTCTAGGTTACCTTGGAAAAGAAGATTAAGGGCCTTTACTGCTTGTAGTCCTCGTTAGTGCACTAAATTACTGGATTAGTCAGACTAGACTAGAAGTTAGAGTAGATAGGACTGAGCCGATGTGATTTCTTTTTCATTTTTTGACCAGATCTACTAGTGAGGTCTTATCTGCTTTTAGTCTTCTAGCAACTGGCAAAACAGAAGAATTGTGTGTATATAGAACTGTAACAAGAAGTGTTTTTATATGAAGAGGTACTTGGGTCTCTCAGTCCTGAGACTGGGTTGAAATTTAGCACAGAGAAATGCACTGGCAACTAGAAAAGAATTAAATATAACAATGCACCTTACTTGGGATGCACACTTGTACTGGGAATCTGTGATCCTGTTCTGCTCTGTTTTTGGTGTGTGGGTCAGGAGTGAGGAGGCTGAGAACATATGCATAAACAAATAATAAGAATTGCAGCTCATAGCAAGGTAGGGTGTGCCTAAAATATCTAGTATGACACAAATTAAACCACTTTGTTTTTCCATTAAAGAGAAGCTAACGATGTACCTCTAAGCATTTTTTCTGACTATCTTCATGCAGTTTATATCTGTAGAGTTGGAGATACATGCATAAGGTTAGATACTGTGTTGTGAATAGGGCAATGTGTTTTAGGGTAGTGAACTTCCAGGTGTTCTTGGTCCAGTCAAGTTTCAGCTGCTTTTGGTTGATCGAAGACCTGCCTGTTGTATGAAAACTGGTTGTGTCTCCTAACTGACTGGTTCAGTCTCCTAACCTTACTTCTGAAGTACTGTGTTGCAATACAGGGTTTTTTGAAAGCCTGGGTTCATTCATCTGAATCTTCTGAAGCATTGGTATCAGGCTGCTCAACACATGTTCCTTAAGTACTAATTTAGTCAAAAGTGTACAAGTGTTCTTTATGTAAAAATGCAAGAGTGTTTCCCTGAAAAGCTATTTTAACTCCACCTGCCTATGTGAATCATCAGGATTAGTCAGCTGGTGGCATCACATGGACTAAAAAAGCTGTTTCTTACTTAGGAGGAATTAGTCTTCAAAGTTTTGGCACCTATTTTTTTTTTTTTTTTGCATTTTTTATGTTGCATTTTGAAAGACTGTTGTGTTTTACTGACATTTCCTGTTTTCAGTTTTGCTGATGAGCAGTGTAACTTCTGTTCTACAGGGAGGACAGAAAGGAGTTAATGTTCCTTTATGTAAGTAAATTATCTCGTGTGGTGGGACTTTTAAGTCCCTGTTATTTGTAGCAGGAAAATAATGAGAGTTACATATCAGCTCTGTAGATGCCTGTCCATATGACTGAATGAGTTGAAAGTTGATGACTTTGTATTACAGTAATTTTGAGAAATTTATTTGGGCAAGTGACTTTCTTTCTTGGGTTTCCTGACATCTGGGAACTGCATGCAAAGCAAGCTAGTGAATATGAGCTGCCACATTTGGCTGGTTCTGGTTTACAGGCCAGCCAGTAATCCCTACTTGCAATTCCTTCTCAACTATTGTAAGGGATGGAAAGATAACTCTGCACTGTGAAAATGTCTTCCCAAAGGAATAAAAACCCCCGTTATCCAAAGTACCAAAACTAATAGTAAATAACACATTACCCTGTACGTCATGTGTGACCTTTTCAAACTGAGGGATGAGGCTTGAGGACTGGCTCATGAACATCTGAAGAACTGATAGATCCACCCGCAATCCAAACATCTCTGGGTGGTACTCCTTTCCTCAGAGAAGGGAACCACTTCTAGGAGCACACTCCCTAGCCTGTTACACAACTCAAGCATGCAGGCATTCACACAGGCAATCTTGATACAATCAACTCCCTAAAGACACCAACCTTTTTGCCTCCACTTTCAGGAACTTTGGCTGCCTTTGCTATGTGTCAGAGAGGGCAATGGGAGTGGCTTCTAATTTCTCCACAAAGCAATGTGGAACACCATAGTGTGTGGCATTATTGAGGCCCCACAGGAAGGGACTTCTTGCAGAAGAAAGTGGCAGGGCAGAGCAGATGAAATGATGAGCCAGAGGCACTGCAAGGTTCAATGCACAGCTTAGGAAGAACCTTTTAAGTTGTGTTTTATGTGTATGAGGCTATGCTGTTTATCCACATTTCATGGGGCTTTCTTTTACCCACAGCAAGCACTGTTAAAAATATTTAAACAGATCTTCAAAGCATTGCCAGATGTTTCAGACCAACAGTCAGCCTCAGTTTTGTTGAGATGGTAATTGATGCTAAGAAGTATCAATACTTGAGGGCTTTTACAGCAGAGGACACAGCTGTACAATAGCAAAGTAGGATGATGGAGTCTGTTGACTTTATATGTACAATGCCATTGATTTGAAGAGGTATATTGTAATTTTATTCCTAGAAGGCCATTTCTCTTCTTAGTATGGAGAATAGACAAAATGGTTTACTGGAGAGCTGGGGGCTAGGAGCAAGCTGGGAATTGGAGTGTGCCCAGTGTAATGGATAACTGAGGTATCTGTAGTGGTACTAGTGTAAAGACATCAAAATTCTGGGGATTTGGCTGTGAAATGTCTGAATATATCTGGTGAGAAAGCTTTTTCTTCTTGGTTTCATTGGAGACCCAGGTGCTGAGGAAAAAGGAAGAGACTAAGAAAAAAGATGGAAGAACTTGTAAGCAAGATTGCTTATGCTGGATTCTGGATGAACAGCAAGATCCAGTTTTCACTGCTGCTGGAAATTTTAAATAGCAAGAAAATAAATCAGTGAAGAAGGAAACACAAAGCTACAAGATGAAGGTATGTGAGAATCCCTGACATAGCTTAGAAACACGAAGTTGGTCTTAGTGTATCTATTTGGTAAATCCTCTATTAGAATTCTTGCTGCTCAGAAAATTCTGCAGACTTGTAAACCAGCTTATTTCCTTCAGTCCTAATCTTATGTTTGCAAGAAAAGCATTTGGAAGCTTGAACTTATGCTGAATTGTCTTTCTATTCCTTCAAATTGCGGTCACAGAAGCTGGTTCTGATGCTCATTACAAGTTAAACATGATATCTGAACTGCTGAATTTGTCTGTAATTTATTCTGTTACTGGGTACTGTTAGACTGGAGAAATGAAAAGTCCAGCAAAATAATATGAACAATTATGTTGGTTTAAATATGCAGGTTCAACCACTGATCTTGTGATCCTATTGTAACTGTGTGCTTTCATTTTCTGCCTATAAAATGTGACAAATGCTTTCTTCTTCCAATCATATATAAAATTATATGCTCTTCGGATGGTGACTTTTCTATTCACAGCATTCAGATGACCCTTTGAGTCCCTTAAGCACCCAATGCTGTTACCAAGAAAGTGTTCCTAAGTCTTTGACCACTGGCTCATTATCCAAGCTGAGCAGAATGGTCAGAGTCTGCACTCACAGGTACTGTATACTAAATGAAGTCTTGGTATAGAGAAAAAAAAGCTATTTCATGGTGTTCTTGACATCACTTGTTCATCTTGACATCATGATGTTTCAGATGGTTTTTTTGGTTGTTTTTCTTTTTTGCAGCCAGACTGATTTTGAAGGGCGGGAAGAAGAATGTTCTCTTTATTGTATACTTCTTCATGGAGTATTCTGTTGCATTAACAAGTTAAAAAACAAAAAAAAATAAGAAATGAAGAGCCTATCTGGCCTAGCTCAAATGTAATGTTCTGGAAATACAATTTTCACTGGCAGAGTTAACAGCCTTAAAAGATAACTATTACTTGGAATATACAGTTCTGTTTTGACATTGTGTATGTCTAGCATTATATATTTATCTGAAAGGTAATTAATTAAATTAAAGTAGCTCAAAACCACCTCCAGCTGAAAAAACACAGTATTTATACAATATAACCTTTGGGAAGCTTTGATTTGTGTCTTTTGGATCAAATTACTTTTCAAAGTTGGACATGATTTTTGAATTTTGGATCCTCTTTCATGAGTTTAACATGTGATGAAAAGGGCAAATTTGGCATCTAGATTCCCTGTACCTGCTGGTTCAGAATGTATTGGTAGGAGTCCTTCTAAGAATAATTTCACTATAATTTTTGGAAAATAACAATAAATGTTAATAGAATATTATGCAATGAGTGATTCTGCAGCAGGCTCCTGTGTGTCCCCAGAGATGAGTTTCCATGCAATTGTCTGTGTGCTAAAGCAGCTGCCGGGGAGGGGGGGAATTGGGTAAGTGTTCTCTGTCATGATACCTGTCTGGAGAAGGTCATAGACAGTTGTTGTGAGATGTGGAATATCTCCAGTATAAATAGCAGTAGACACTGCCAGGCTGGTTGGGCACACTGCCAGGCACTGTACAGTTAGGTGTGTACTGCTGAGCACAAAATTCTTCAGAAAATCAAATCAACAGCCACAGAATGGAAATATACTAAATAAGGGCACTGCAGAACACACAAGGGAACAACTTAGGATCTAGCCCTTCCCTTCATTCCTCATTTAGTCTTCCCGTAGGGTGAGTACCAGTAAAGATCAGTTTAAGTCACGAGTCCTAAGTTTGTTACAAGTACTTAAATATTTGTTCAGTAAGTACAGGTCACCTGAAAGACAGAGAAGATGGTTTGTGATGGGCAAGTGAGAGATCATGCTGTGTAACACTGTCATGCAGTTAATGGTATTTGAGGTTGACCTTTCTCTTTTGGCAGTGCAGAATATTTTCCAAAATAGGCACAAACCAGTATGTTCTGACTCGAGAGCTCTCTGAGCTGTGAATCCATTCCTAGCAAGGGTTAGGATTTAAAGCATCCATCCTTAAATTGTCTTGAGATGCGACTCCTTATTCTTCCCACACAGAGTGGTGTTATATACTCTTGTAGTGGATTAAAATGATCTGGACAGAATGCTATGTGATAAATTTAAACTTTATAAGTTCTGAAATTTATTGCTAATTTAATAAATTGTGGTTTTTCTTTCCTCCCCAATTACCATCACATTTCCCCCACACACACATTCACATTTTATTTTGATCATTATTTGCCTAAAACCTCTCTATGTATGATTCTAGAAACACTAAATATAACAGTTTACACTACTTATCTCTGTAGCAAATCTTTCCCCATCCCAGTTAGGACTAAAACATGCAAGCAAACATCTTGCATGTTTGAGAACTACAGAATGGCATTTTGGTGCCCTGCTTTACAGTAGGACCAGGAGTTAACTTTGTCGGAATAACTGACAACCAGTGGGGCTGGAGATCCACATGGTGGCAATCTCTCTGTTTCTGAAGAACATTATACTGAGCTGGTGAAGGGTCTGGAGCACAGGTCTTCTGAGGAGCAGCTGAGGGAGTTTGGGTTGTTTAGCCTGGAGAAAAGGAGGCTCAGAGGAGACATTGCTTTCTGCACCTGCCTGAAAGGAAGCTGTAGTGAAGTCAGTCTCTTTTGCCAAGTAGCAAGTGACAGGACAAGAGAAAATGGTCTCAAGTTGCAGCAGGGAAGGTTTAGATTGGATATTAAGAAAAATTTCTTCACTTACAAGGTGGTCAAGCATTGGAATTTGCTGCCCTGGGAAGTAGTGAAATCACCCAGAAGTGTTCAATAAGGCATGTGGTACCTGGGGATATGGTTGAATGTTGAACCATTGGTACTAGGTCAATGTTTGGGCCAGATCATCCTAGCAGTGTTTTCTGACCTTGAACCTGTGATCTTATAAGTTTTTGCATGCTGCATTTGCAGAAAAAGTAGCAGTGTGCCCAGAGAGGCAGTAGTTTGATGCTTCCTATGACATGGAAGACCTGTGTACAGCCTCCTTTCATGAAATAACATAAAAGCAGAAAGAAGATGGTTTTCAGTGTTCATTTGATGCTTTATGTCACTAAGTGATTTGTTTTGGTAGCATAGTGCACTACAGGGCACGAGACCAGAATGTTATCTGCTGTTTCCTGGAAACCTGCTAGTCTGTTGTTAGCTTGCTAGTGTTTGATTCCTTCTTTACTATGTTGAGTTTTCAAAACCGTTAATTCCTCTGCATTCTGCCGGAAGATGATATGTTCCTCCAGGCAGTTGAGAGAATAATCTGCAAATATTGTGGTTTTGGCTACTGCACTAGGAATGCTGGCTCAGGCCAGGCTGCTCAGATGGGCATTCCTGGAACTACAGAACAGTTGTTATAACTGAAGTCAAAGGATAGTAGCTAGAGATATGGATTCCCCTCCATTCATTTTTAAGGCAGTGTCAATGCAGAGAATAGGAGACCCCCAGTTACCAGCCCAGTATGAGCTGTCTTTTATTTGGAGGAAGTAGTGTCTGTGTTGTTGGACGGAGCTGTCTTTATGGAAATTAAGAAAGACTTTACAGAAGACTTCAGGAAGCATCACAGCAAACACAGAGTAGCACATGGACTAAGTGTTCACCAGATTTTTCTAAGGTCTTTTTGGAAGGCAGTTTCAGTGACCTGTATGTGCTGCCTGAAAGGAGCTGGAAACCATCTGGCATCAGTACATATCTGCAATGTCCTCCTGCAGGCCCAGGGTGAAGAAGGTGCTTATCTGAGGTAGTTGATAATGGCATGATCTTAAGAAAGATCTTGAGTTGCCAAGATGTACTGCTGAAGTAACTTAAGTGGTAGTTTGTTCTTGCTTTTAATTTCTTTTACCTTTATGTTTACCTTCATTGACTTTATCCCAAGAAAGCAGGGGAAAGGAATGAGAAAGAAATGTAGAAATGGAGGCTAAGAATTGAATGCCAAATGCTGTTGCCTTACAGATATCTGTGCTTGCTTAGCACAGTCTGAGCTTTGGAAGGGTGCTGTGTTCTTTATAGTTTGGGTGGGGGGGTAGGTGGTTGGGTGGTTTATGTTACACCTTGCATAAGGTTGATTGCACATAATGATATTCAGGTACTACAACTTGAGGAAACTCTGGTAGAATGGTGATTCTACTTATGAGCTACCAGTGTCCTACAAGTTTGAATTTTTTCTGTTTAACACTTTCAGAAGTCTGTTGAATTCTCTTAGAAATCGAATTATTTTACAAAAGTCATACCACCTGTGGATGTTTTTAATCCTCCATATTTCCCTTTTTTCAAAAAGGGAAAGTATCTGGAAACACCAAAAACACTTACTACATTTAGTTATTGATATTTAAAATCTCCAATTCCCAGAAACGATGCTTCCAAACTTGTCATGCAGCATGTATTTCAACTGCTGATGAGCACAAAGTTGCCTGGTTGCCCTATAATAGAGAAGACCTTCTATTTTGTGATTTTCACTGTTACTAGGGCTTCAAGTACTTTTCACAGATTGAGGAAAGAGTCTACAGAGTGCTGAATTGCTAGTTTTCTTTTTCATTCAAGGATCAAATTCTTGTGTTCAATGGGTAATTGTATGTTGAGAAGAAAATTGAAGGGGAAAGGAGGGTGAGTATCAACTGAAAATATTTGCTGTGAAACATCTGAAATTGTACCAAGACGTAGTCATCTACTGTCCATTTTAAATTATAAATGCCCTTATTTTTCTAATGCAGTTGATGAGGTGCTAAAGCATTGTATTGCTGTGTGTGCTGGCAACTGTAGAATAATATCACAATACAAAAGCACAGATTAGTGGCTGACACAACAAAATCAATTTGCAAATTCTATAGCTCTGTTGTAAAGCAATCTATGGAATCTTTTTCCTTTTTTTTTTTTCCCTTTCCAGTTCTTTAGAACATTTTTTCATTTCTGTCATGTGACTCAGGTTTTAGTATGTAAAGGATTGATATGGCATGAAAAAATCTAAGCACAGAAACGTTCCTTTTGGAAGGATATTGTAACTGAAATTGGAGA